GTGTGTGTGTGTGTGTGTGTGTGTGTGTGTGTGTGTGTGTGTGTGTGTGAGTGTGAGTGTGAGAGAGAGAGAGAGAGAGAGAGAGAGAGAGAGAGAGAGAGAGAGAGAGAGAGAGATGAGGCTGAAATGTATCTCATTTCATTTTCTCTTGTAAAAATATCCCTTCCATCTTTAAATGGTTAGATCATATAATATATGTTTAAGGAACTATGAGACCGTTGCATTCATTGTTTTCTTACAATGTTGATAATCAGAAGGTGATGGTTATTCAGCTTTTAGCTCTGGGCAAGATCTGACCGTGAGCTTGAAGATATCTTATCTTAGCAAGCATCATGTGATAAGAGATGGCATAAGGAGACGTTCCTTGTGTAAGTGTTCATTATGCTGAACACAAACTTGGGAATTTAATGATCATCCAAAAGTAAAATGTTTACACCTGTTCAAAAAGGCCTCACATGAAGGCGCTCTTTCTGGCTGTGGCACACTGCTTCTCTGCTGTATATTTGTCTTTTGTATTTCTTTATTGTTTCAATGCAGTTTATCTTACAAATGGGAAGACGCATGCAAATTTGAGCAGTTTCTCTTGGGTGGCGTTCATGTTGTTTCACTCAGTTGCACCATTGGAAGTAGTTGTATGAATAATTAAAAAGCCAGATGTGATGTTTGTCAGATTCTGTTGCAGAAAGTTACAAATATTGTCGAATACAGACGTGTATATGTGAGCCGAGTGGGTTTTATGTGCCGTTAGATGATCTGACAAGCATTTAGTTTGAGTCCCTTGGTGTACAGAGAACAATGAAGTGTTCATTCAATCAGCATCTACATTATAGGGGCATCACCCTCTTCTCTTCATGCATACACACACACACCCCTGTTTCTAATCTCCCTGCCAACACCGCTCGTTCTAAACTTCAACAACAAACAAACACTGTAGAGCTCGTCATAAATCAACGGTTGTATGTGTAAGACTCAATTTCCTGATTGTATGTTTGGAGTGAAAACAAGCCGTCTAACTTTATCAGCAGATCGGTTAATAACCCGATGGATTCTGGTGATTGCACTGGCCCCTTAGATTACACATAGTCTCGCACACACACATGTACATGTTGTTCTAATATTTCAGCACTAATGAAGCCACATTCTCCACAATGTCATCTAATTTTGAATGCACAATCTCACCTTTTGCACTTGTTTTTCTCTGCTCGCTCTCTCTCATATTCATTCATTCCGGTCTTTCTGTTTCTCCTTCCCTGTAGGAGATGTCCCTGGTGGGTCCAGAGTCTCCATCAGAACAGGCAAGGAGGGTCTTCCAGTCGTTTGATCCTGAAGGTAATGAACAAGTGTTTTGCGTACATTTACACATTGTCATTATCTTGCTCTCTGGCTTCATTCCCAGCACACTTGTTTTTACAGACCATTCTCATTACCACACCGGCTTTATGAAAACCCTGTCACACAGATGTACTTTGATTAATCCAAACTTTCACACACACACACACACACACACTGAGCAAACAATATCCTGGCCCTGTTGTATTTCTCTTCCCTTCTTCCCGGTTGAGCTGATGCATTTATAACCTCCACTGCCCTCCTCGCCTCTTGTTTCTCGTCTCCATTATTTTTCTTCAGAAAGAAAGAACGAGGGTCTCTTTCTCTCCCTTCATCTCCACTGTTGTTGTTTAGGTTGGTGAGATCAGCTCCTCTTACAGCTGAGTCAACCATCCCGCTCTCTCTCCCTCTCCTCCTCGTTTTGCTAAACTGCCTTTCTTGTCACTTCCTGGTGACTGGGCTTAAAAGGCGAGGGGGAAGGAAGCAGGGAGGGACACAATGACAGTAGAAAGTTAAAGAGGCTGTCATGTCTGATGAACTGAAAGTCGGAGGTCTGCTGCATTCCATTTATGTCGCCTCAAGATCAACATTTAGTCCTAGCAGCTGTTCCGTAATGTTTTTCTTCTGCTGTCGAGAGATGCAGAGATGTCTCACTCGAGACACGAGCATATTCAGTGTTCAGCTTAGCACCTGACGTCGTTACGCAAACCTTCATATTCATGTGTTTTCATTGTGAAATGAAGTATGCTCGTCTCTGTCGCCGCCATTATAAAAACAAAACAAAAAAAAAAAAACACAGTATTCACTTTAGGCTTGTAGGAACAACATGCTGATTCGTAGAGATCTGTTTGTGTGTGTGTGTGTCTGTGTGTCTGTGTGTCTGTGTGTGTGTGTGTGTGTGTGTGTGTGTGTGTGTGTGTGTGTGTGGTGCAAAAGGATGTTACATTAATCCTACCAGCTAAAACGGTCTCGCCTGCTTTGGCAACTTCGAAAACAAATGTGTAAACCCAACTGTCTGTCACCTTACTCTTCCCCTTTGTTCTCCATCTGTCTTTTCCTGTTACACATAATACAGCTTCGCACATTCTCAAATCCACTTCTGCTATCGTCTGCTGGGACATTCTGCGAGCCATATGGTCTTTTCCCAAACATACTTGTGCACAGACAGACAGACAGACAAACAAACAAACAAACAAACAAATGCATGCACGGACGGACTACAGTAGGCACTTCCAGAGACATAAATATACATGTATACACACATGCAAGGAGGAGGCACTGTACACGACTCTCACACGATGCAATGTATATACACACACGCTGTAGCCAGTAGCGCAGTTGAGCGCTGTGTAAAAAGCCCATAAATCTGTCGCATGTAGAGTCAGCAGAGCTCCCGGTGTTGTGGAAAAGGGGCGCCAGACGCATTCACACGCACTGCAGTGACTCACCAGACCTACGCATTCAGCAACCTACTGTCTCAGGATGCTCTATAATATGTGGCGTTTGTCATTGGTCCTCTGCTCGCTCTCAAACTGTCAATTGTCACACTGAGAGGATAACATCTGGCATCGAAAAGGCAAGATTGAGTTGCTTGAGAGCGGACGAGCAGAGCGCTCCTCAGTTAATCTTCTTCACAACACACATGGGGTTTATGTATGTATCCAAACAACCGGCCACACAGGCTCGCATACGGATGTTTAAATGAGTGCCTAGACACACACGCACACATACTCTTTCAGGCAAAAACACATGTTGGTGTTTAGAGCCTTCTCCTCTCAGGTAAAGCAATCACCATGGCCATGGAATGTAGGTCAGCGAGAAAGGACAAGGTGTGTGTGTGTGTGTGTGTGTGTGAGAGAGAGAGAGAGAGAGAGAGAGAGAGTTTTCTCTTTTAGTTGTGTCGGATGATTTCATTCCCCAGGGCCGGTGATGTAAATGGTGCTTGTGCCACATGTGTAGGTGAAGGCCTTCCCTGGTTTTCAGCTACAGCCTGTATTTTATGTTCTGTCCGGGTTCAGCCAATGCATCAGTCTCTCTTTATGTCTCTCGCTCTCCCTCTCCAGATAATGGCTTTATCCCCGAATCTCTGCTGGAGGACGTGATGAAAGCCCTTGACCTTGTCTCTGAGCCTGAATAGTAAGTGCTTGCATGTTGGTGTGTGTGTGTGTGTGTGTGTGTGGGGCACCTGTAGAGCTTCTAAAGTTCCAACTCCTAAGTCATGGCCAGGCCAGGTCAGCAGCCCTGTGCTCATGTTTCACTGCCAGGCTCCTATAAAGTAAGACCAGAGAGAGCCAACTATAAAAGCGCATTAAAGAGTCCGAAAAAGGAGGCTTAGAGGGAGATCATTAACAGCAGGAAGAAAGACTGAGAGGGAGGAAATGCTTTAAAGTGCCGCTTCAAACAGAAGCACGTTCTCGTCTGAGGAACAGTAAGCCCCCAAACGCTGCAGCCGTGGGCCTCGGCCAAGTAACTGGACCACTGATCTGCTCTGCAGACCCCCAGATGGGTGATGCATCACAACATGGCAAACAGGAGAGTTTGCTTACAAAACGAGAGTTACTGCAGAGATACCACCATGAGGAAAAAAAAGTAGCGTCTTTAGTGCTTGGGGGGGTGAGTAATAGGAATATCTAGATGTAATGAAATGAGGGCTTTCATCACTCATGGAAGATGCGTGCAAAGAGTGTTTTCAGTTGCCTGTGACCAATGTCACATATCAGCTGATATCATTTGTGGTAAACCAACTTTGTGAACACTGACTGTTCTCAGACAAACTCAGGATTCAGTCTCTTGATCATTTGCTTTTTAGTGTTTGGGATAGTTATGCATAGTTATGCAGTGGATACTGTTCAAACCCACCTCAAACAATTCATTCCTATGACCCCCATCAACACACAACCACTTGATGATCAAAATTAGATTTATAATACTGATTCCTGAGGAGATGCTCTTTTTTCTAACTTTGCTATAGAGCAGCACATCTGACATCTTCTAGGGATTCGTAGTGTTGCTCAATGACACTTCAGCCAGGCTCCCTGTCCACTCTGTATGCCGCCCTGCTGCACATGCTACTGATATCGACCGATATAGAAACCATCATTGCCTTCCCTCTGTGTCTCGGTATAACCCTTGCTTCTCTCCTGCAGCCTTAAAAGGGCAATCTGACAGTGAAAGAATAATAACACTGATCTAACACCAAGGAATGTCTGGAAAGAGGTATATTTAGTTTCACCACAATATTCATGAAAACATGCAGCAAAACACGCATTATGAGTCCACGTTGAGTGATGAGGTGATCGTAAATTTGACTCGGCTTTCATACACAAAACATTGCAGACTGTTGTTTCGTACTTTTTTGACCTGCATGTTTTCTCTCTCTGGATTTGTTGATATGTTTCTCTCTATTCCCTTTTTACATACTTCCTTTCCTATCTCTCACTCTCTCTCTCTCTCTCTCTCTGTGTGCTTTCTCAGTGTCAGTCTGGTGAAGAGTAAACTGGATCCAGAGAGTTTGGGCATTATTCTACTGGGCCCGTTCCTGCTGGAGTTCTTCCCCGATCAGGTGTGTGTGTATGTGTGTGCGCGCAAAAGGTGGACTTCCACCTCAAAGATGCACACAAAACAGTATGACGAATACCTTCCACCAGTCATACATTCCATATCATAGTTAGAACACATGGACAAAGAGTTGTACACACACACGTATGGGTGACACTAATGTCTCTTTCCCAAGCATATGTGAAGTGCCGTTTTAGAAAGTGTGCGTGTGCGTGCGTGTGCGAGAAGCTCAGAAAGACCGGTCGGACTGCTTTATGAGGCAGAGGGAGAGATACAGGGGAACTGTGTTAAAGTGATCAGGGCTTTAGGGACTCACCAGAGGAACGGCCCCGAACCGCAAAGAAATTATACTACCATTAGCCAACTGGACACACACACACTCAGACACACGTGGGATTGGGGTTAGGGTTTCATATATAGGCATTTAAACACGAGAAGCTGGGACACGCTCTCAGACAACACACCCTATTAGCATTCTGCACCTTTTTAAGCCAAAGGCGGTGGAAGTGTTTTGGCTCGATGTCATTGTTCGGACGTTTTTGTAGTGTTGGATGCTGTCTGGTAATTGGAGTTGGACAAATACACACACGCATGTTTAAATTGAACACGCGGGATTTAACATTGAGCTTTGGTTGCAGGCAGGATATGTGTCGGTTTTACTTTTCGGTTCAAAAATGTCCTGCTTCTGTGGTTCTTTACCTCCTTCTCTGTGAGAACGGAGACTCTCTAACAACATTGCATGTTTTTCACTCTGTTTCAGGATTCAGGAATCCCAGACTCATTCCCCGTCTACCACTACAATGGACTCAAACAGTCCAACCACAACGAGAGGGTAAGACACTGTTTCATGTTCAGGTTAATCACAGCAACTGCTGCTGAGTCCTTTTCATATTCCCTCGTTCTGCCTATTGCTCTTCTTCATGAACACACACACACACACACACACACACACACACACACACACACACAGTTGTGATGGATGATTGTCAGAGGATGCAGTTGGTGGCTGTGCAAAAAAAAAAAATGGTACTCGGGAATATCACTTTCTTCATCTGTCAGCTTTGTCTAGTCTGTAAAGCAGAGTTTTTCCATACATCTACCTGAAAACGTAGGAATGGCACCAGATGTGTGCCCACACACACACACACACACATATGCACATGGCGGCTGATGCCTTTAAGGTTGGTGATGGCAATTCCATTCCCATAGCTCCAGATGGGAATAACAGACCTGCAGTCCCCTTCAGCTGGTGTCTGTCTGTCTGTCTGTCTGTCTGTCTGTCTGTCTGTCTGTCTGT